GAAATACCGGAAAATATGCTGGTATAAAATTGGATCCCCACCTCCGGCTGGGTCGTAAAATGTAGTATTGAAATTTCTATCCGTCAATAACATTGTGATACCCAATTATCTTGGTTCACTCCCACTAACGGGGAATGTCTCTCCATCTATGAGACTCTTAGGTTAACACTTTCGTATTTACATACGAGCTGGGACTATATCATAACTATTTATAAAAGGATTGGAGGTGAATCCAGTCAAAATGGCTTCGATTATCATTCATTCTTTTCTTAAACGATAAGAATATGTCGTAATGGGGAACGGTTAGGATCTTTGTGGTATCCGCTTTTCATTCTAGGTGAGAGTCAAATCCTTTCTTTCAGTCCAAAAAATCCAGGTGCTTAGAAGTAAAAAGCGGCCAGTCCTCAAGGTAACTAATTAGCTTCTTGTTAGTTAAGAAAGAGGCCGTTCTTAGTCTGAACAAGCCAGGTTTACCCCGGCTCTTGACCTCTACTCCCAAGAAACTCCCAATCTCTAATTAAATTTACAAATCTGCTTGTTCTAAATAGAATTCATTACCGATCTTATTCTTAGAAGTCCTTAAGTTAAAATGACCATCTCCATCGATAAAACCAGACAGTCACCCGCTCTCAGCTAAGGGTTGGCGGCAGGGGTTGTTTATGGTTTCCACGGCCCCATCGAGTTTTCTTTTTCTTAATAAATCCGCAGTCTCCCTGAATTGGTTTAATTTTTTTTCTAGTTTTTAACCTCCCATTCAACCTCCCCATTAGATCCCTAATTCCCCTGTTGTCTCTTACCACGAAGCTGTAGGCCTTTGCTCCCTTTCTTTTTTGAATGCTCCCATAGCCTAAAGTTTGTTGGATTTTGGCCACCAAGGGAAGTCTTTAGAATGAAAACAGAGCTCGATAGAAGGGTAGGTTAGTTTCCCCGAAGGGAAACGGTCTTTCTTGGGACAGACGATACTACCATCAGCTTCTATGAGCCCTGTTAAGTAATCATTAAATTTATCCATCTCGGGGCACGCGTGACCCTCCCCCCGTTTTTTAATAGTTGGTATAGTCTCTGAGGTTCCCCCATACTTTGCTTCCGGGGTTACCTTCTGATTGTCCTTGATCCCGGGCACCCCGGGATATGGTGGAGGGCAGGAGCCCTCCTACACCTTCGGTGCCTACGGGATCATCCCGAAGGGATGTAAGATGGTAGATCTCAGAGAGATCTCCCATGGAGGGCCCCTCTACGATTAGGCCCCCCCATGGTAGGCCCCGAGGGGCCGTACATCCCCCCTTCGGGGGGATCCTTCGGGATCTACCATTAAGGATGCCCCAGAATATAGCCAACTTGTCTTTCCCTGATGGAAAGGGGCCGTATCTTCAACCCGCTAAAACTGGTAATGATAATAATAGTAAAAAAGCAGTTATAAATACTGCTCAAGCAAATAAAGGTAATTTATGCATTTCTAAATGAGGATATCTCATATTTATCACAGTAGTAATAAAATTTATCGCCCCCATTAATGAAGATATTCCCGCTAAGTGTAAACTAAAAATTGCCAAGTCTACTGACCCACCACTATGGGCTTCGATCCCTGATAAAGGTGGGTAACAACACCTCCTTGGACTATCCCTTAACTAAACTTGGGGGACGGACCCCCTCTTGACTGTGTCTGCCACTAATAGAGCTTTCTTAGGCTGGCCTGTATCTTACGAAGCGCGTCCGGTTTCCCCTTTTCTTTAAAGGATTTGGCCCATATGCGATAGACAAGAGATTTCTTACTCCACATACTTTTAAAAAAATAATCTTTTATAAACTTTAAGGAAGTTTGGGGTGACCCACGAGAGAGTGGGGTGCCCCTACAGCATTAGGATCACCTAGGCCTCCCCGAAGCACCTCTACATTAAATATTTTATCTTCTTGAGATAGTTTAGGATCCTCTCAAATTTTCATTGCCTCTTTAAAAAAATAAGAAGTCGTGGCGTTTGGAACTAATTAGCGAGTAGGCACTGCTCGAAAAATGGGGGATTACACAAGTTTTTAGTGAATTTTTATCTCGGATCAAATAGTTAGTCATATCCGCAAGGATGTAAGATCCATCCTTCATGATGGATCTCCGATTGGCCGTAGGGCAATGGAGGGTCTCTTTTTCTTTTTGGGCCCCCCCATTTCTCCCTTAC